AACACAGTCAAAACACAGTCAGAACACAGTGAGAACACAGTGAGAACACAGTCAGATCACAGTTAGAACACGGTCAGAACATGGTCAAAACAAAGTCAGAACACGGTCAGATCACAGTCAGATCACGGTCAGAACAAGGTCAGATCACAGTCAGATCACGGTCAGATCACAGTCAGATCACGGTCAGAACAAGGTCAGATCACGGTCAGAACAAGGTCAGATCACAGTCAGATCATGGTCAGAACAAGGTCAGATCACAGTCAGATCACAGTCAGATCACAGTCAGATCACAGTCAGATCACGGTCAGATCACGGTCAGAACAAGGTCAGATCACGGTCAGATCACGGTCAGATCACAGTCAGATCACGGTCAGATCACAGTCAGATCACGGTCAGATCACGGTCAGAACAAGGTCAGATCACAGTCAGATCACGGTCAGATCACGGTCAGATCACGGTCAGAACAAGGTCAGATCACAGTCAGATCACGGTCAGATCACAGTCAGATCACGGTCAGAACAAGGTCAGATCACAGTCAGATCACGGTCAGATCACGGTCAGATCACGGTCAGATCACAGTCAGATCACGGTCAGATCACAGTCAGATCACGGTCAGAACAAGGTCAGATCACAGTCAGATCACAGTCAGATCACGGTCAGATCACAGTCAGATCACTGTCAGATCACGGTCAGATCACAGTCAGATCACGGTCAGAACAAGGTCAGATCACAGTCAGATCACAGTCAGATCACGGTCAGATCACAGTCAGATCACGGTCAGAACAAGGTCAGATCACAGTCGGATCACGGTCAGATCACGGTCAGATCACAGTTAGATCACGGTCAGATCACGGTCAGATCACGGTCAGATCACGGTCAGATCACGGTCAGATCACAGTCAGATCACAGTCAGATCACGGTCAGAACAAGGTCAGATCACAGTCAGATCACAGTCAGATCACGGTCAGATCACGGTCAGATCACGGTCAGATCACGGTCAGATCACAGTCAGATCACGGTCAGATCACGGTCAGATCACGGTCAGATCACGGTCAGATCACAGTCAGATCACGGTCAGAACAAGGTCAGATCACGGTCAGATCACAGTCAGAACACAGTGAGTACACAGTCAGATCACAGTTAGATCACGGTCAGTTCACAGTCAGAACACAGTCAGAACAGTTGAAACACAGTCAGATCACGGTCAGATCACAGTCAGAACAGTTTAAACACAGTCAGATCACAATCAGAATTCACTCAGATTACAGTCAGATCACAGACGTTCAGAGATGCTGTACCAGTGTGTGGTTGAGATCAGGACTGAGCACCTCCAGAGATCTGTGGCCTTCTGCACTCTTCCTTCTGTTCTCAGACAGAGATGAACTGGAGGCTGGACGAGAGATTTCATCCAGACGGCCCTTGATGATGTCCATACAGTCCACCGACACTGGAATCACCAGCAGACTTTAATAAAACGCCTTTAAATAAT